TAGCAGTAGTCATATTGACTATATTTGAACTGACCAATTCAATATACAATTTCTTCTCTCTTACAGTCTTGATAACAGCCAAACCTTAACCTTTAGTGACTATTTAATTTTTGCCTTCATATAGACATTTCTATATGCCTACAGCAAATCTTTATGTAAATATACTGGTATCAGTTACCACATCTTTAACTATAAAATAATGTCTGCAAAGAACTGGAAATCTTTTACAGACACTCTATTCCAACAACTCCTACTGCACAAAACTCCTATTAACAATGAAACTAATGAAAGCATTGAAACAATTTGGCCCAAAATTTAATGTTCTATTATCTACTCTGCTACTCATACCATCCCTAGTAAAGTCTCTCGCAAACATAGCTACAATCATCAATACTTATCTCACAATACTCTATTACATTTATCTCTTAAAAAACTTGGTCACACTGTTACAGTACCATGGCCTTCTTAACAGCAGTACTATAACAACGATACGACTACAGGGATCCTTTATAGGTTTATAGCAGTGTCCAAGAGGTAAGTATAATTTCTTAGTCTATAAGAAACTATATCCTTCTCTCTAAGGCAGTTCGGTAAAACAAGAAATGATAGTTTATACTTTAAACAAAGATAACAAGCCTTGCCTGTAGGAATTACCCTAGAGAGGGAATTTTATATATTTTTATTAATAAGAATAAAGAGGCTATCTGTTAGGCTTCTGTATCTAAGGAATCCTTTTACAAGATAAATACTAAGTTAAGGGTAGAGGGAAGTGGTCTGTATCTACTGTTACTTGAGGAATTTAGCAGAGTTTATATATCTTTGGATTTAAGTAACAAAGCAACTAAGTGACTAAGTGACTAAGTGACTAAGTGACTAAGCGACTAAGTAACTAAGTATTTAAGCAACTAAGCAACTAAGCGACTAAGTGGCACAGTAATGCACAGTAATCGGTACAATAACTGGCACAGTAATGTACAGTAACTAAGTATTACATTATGTATAACAATATAAAATAATATACTAATAATAATAATTAAATAATAACTAAAAATAATTAATAATAAAATAAAATAAAATAATCTTTCTATAACATTTCCGTCCTCTTATAAAATTTGTTTCACAAATTTCAACTTGTAACCATCGAAGAGTCGATGATAATCACTATCAGTTAGCTTGATGAGCTCTGTTGCTGTTAGTGTCTGTAACTGAGAAATAACTTCTTTTGGGCAGATTCTAAAAAGTTCATAAGTTTGATAGACACCACGCCAAGTGTTTTTGGTTTTTCTTTTGCCTTGTTTTCTTTCGATAAAGTCTTTTATCGTAGCTGAGTCTGCATGTTGGTCAAGAAGTTTTCTGAGATAGTAATATGTCTGAATCTTTTGGTTGAGGTCTTTTCTGATTCGGCCATGAGTAGTGAGTTGGATTAACATCTTGTCTACTTGGGTTTTCCAAGTTCTACCAATAAACGAATTGGTTAAGCTTTTAGTCATTAGCTGAATAGTTTGAGATACATCAGTTAGGAGGATAGTTATAGAGTCTTCTAAGTTTTCAATTTCTGGTTCTACAGTCGAATTAAGATTGGTAGTGTCTTCTATTTCTGATTCTAAGGTTGGAATAGGATTGGTAGTGTTTTTTATTTCTTCTGGTAATAGAAAGTCATTAAGATTTACTTCTATTGATTGGTCAAGAAGCAGCATTAAATCAAAGTTTCTTGCAGCATTCAGAGGGTCCCATAGTAATACATTATGTGATACAATATTCAAATTGTATTGAGAGACAGGATCTTATTTCCATTTTAGGAAAAAGTTATTTAAAGCGACAAGAGTTTCTGGTTGTGGAGTAGGTAATTTTATTTTCGGGTGAAAAATGTCTGTTTCTGAGTCTATAAATATCTTTTTAACAGTATGATTGTCTGTTTCACAAAATTTTGTGTTGTTTCTCCCCTTCCAATCAAATTTCTTCCAG